ATGTCTAGGTTTGGAAAATTTCTTTTTTTTTATGCAAAGGGTTATTTTATTGTGTGAACAACTGCAATAGACTACTTCCATAAAGCCCTGCATGCAACACGGCGCGCGTTGCACTCTGGGAACTAGTTGGCCAGGGAGGAGAGTGGTGTGGTTTCGGTTTCGATCAACACGTCGACTAGAGGTCACACACAGAGCGTGGATTATTAACGGCCGTTATCTCATGCTTTCTGGTATAGAGAGCGTCATTTGTGGTCTATAAACTAACCTAAATGGCCAGACCTCGCAGCTTTAGCACAAGCCCGAGGCGTATAGCATGTCTTAATGGATGCTTGTATTTTGTACTTGAGCCTTTCTGTTAGCGTTTCGAGGTATGTGGACGAGCCAATGCTGGGAATTTCGACGCTGTGAAGCTCGGGGATCTTGCTTGTGTGCGAATCAGCAAGCTGTAGCAACCAATAAGTAACATCTAGCTCGAGCCTTTACATTAGTAATGTTGATTAAGAAGTTTGTTTCGTGCGTGACGAAATATAACTTTTTGCGATTACTGTTTTTCTTAATACGCCTGAGTACGCGAGGTAAAACTTGGAGGCGCCATTGAAGAGCTCCATTTGAACACACTTCTCATCTCTTACCTGTACTGCCCCGCAGCACTGCACGAAGTGAAGTTTCCACCCGCTTGCATTCCACTAATATTCAACATCGCGTATGCGCATAAAGTTATCCTGCAATCATATAGGCACTTTCGCACATACAAACCGTTTTAAGAAAGCAAAAGTCGAGCACTTGTCTGTAGAATGTCGCAACGTTCGCCGGAAGTGCGCCGGACGGGCATGAACTTTTATGCGGTGCGCCAAACGAACGAAATTATTCAAAGCGCATTTGACGGTTGCTAATGGCTATAATATTTGTTATGAGTTTGCTTTCTTCCTGGCTGAGCATGCCGAGATAATTTCAGACACACCGTTAAGGCACAGATCTTGGGCAACAGGGAAAGCTCGTCCAAAAAGGCTTACCGAGGAGTAGGGGACGCTTGTTAGGGCTAGAGCACTATATAGCTCCTACGGAGCAGAGTAGCGCAATCCTTTGAACCCCGTGTTTTGCCGACAACATGGCCGACAGAGCAGCTCGGCGCGAGTCACGTGGTACTCAGGGTTCCAAGAGGCGGCCCGCCCTATGGGAGAATACATGGAGATCGACATAACACGGCTGATTAAAAAAATAACGGCGAGTTCACACTTTTCAAAACTAGCCTGTCGTGAAGTTAGTAAAGCGCTGAACACTTTATCAAAGTTTGAATAATATCGGATGCGTGTGCAAATTTTGAGAAGGCAATTTCCAGGGCAATGGCGTTTGAAGCAGACGATGTTTGCTCGCAGCGGAGATGGGCTTTTCGGGTTGGCCGGAGCGGGTCACGTGAATGGTGTGACGTCGCCGTGTCGTCTGCTGCATGATGCCGCTCAGGCAATTTTTTAAAAAAAGTTACGTCCTTGCATGGCACAAAACTTATCGCAAATTATTCTAAAATGTTTCATTATTATGTCAAAAATGATTGCCATTCCGTACATCCCCACAAAACTGAAGGAACAACGATTTTCTCACGTTCTCCATGCATTTCTGACCGCAGTTGGAACCTCCGGGCGTTCGCCGCTAGTCGCCGAGAGACGGCGTTCTAGATTGCGCTACTCTGCTCCGAAGGAGCTATATAGTGCTCTAGTTAGGGCCTCCGTCGTAGCAAGCCGATCTCAGTGTTTGCGAAAACTTAATCTCCTATCAGCATAAAATTTGAATGTGAGATATGTGATGACACGAGGAAGACATCATAGTAACTTTTGTGCAGCAGTGAGGTCGAATTTATTGCGTTTCCTTAAAAGTTCATGCGCCAACGCTGGGCTCAACTGTGATAATCCTGTGAAGATGCGGCTTGTTTTCGCCCAATGAAGTAACAAGAGGCGGACGTTTGGCAAGCAAAATACGTGTAGGGCTCAAGGTGACCAAATTTCAGTTGTAGTACACTGGTACTAAACGGGATTACTGACACTGAGCTCAAAGATGCACTCGTGGGGCGAGGTGACTAAGCCACGTCTTACTACGTTTGCATACGCACGCACAATATCCGGTGTTTAGGGAACCAAGGAAAGTGCCCCGGTCTTCGTTTTCTATCGCTCGAGAATGAGTGTATTGTGCATTCGTAAAAAGTCAGATAATCGAAAACGCAATCAGCGCGTTCGGTCGCGGTGTGATAACACGACATGAACCTGCTCACTCGAAACCGAAACTAAGTGGCCAACTAGTTCCCAGCGTGCATTGCGTGGTATTTCGCCGCATTGGGGCGCGTCGGTTTTGGAAGAAGTCCATTAAAAGAAACTAATTCTATTCACTGAAGAAGTTAATAACTTAAATTTTAGTACTGTATTGACTGAAATAGCCGATCAGCGCTGCACTTAATTCATCTCTTAGCCATTACCATCCAATCCGAAGCCAACTGGCCAGCCTGTCGCGCATGCGCACACGAGTCGAACCTCAATACAAGGTTCGACGAACTTTCCACTAAAAGTTCGAAAAAGTCGAACCTGGTCGAACTCAAACCGCGGCCGGTTCGCGACACCCCTAGTTACATCATCAGAGCAGTTTCGTGAACTTCAACAATCCACGAACTTACCGGTGGAAAGATACTCGCGTTCTTTTCGAAGGTTTCTTTTTGCATAGCGCGCAGATGTACGGCCTCGCGTTAACGCTAAACTAAACCATATACCCGGCTTCGCTGGTGGGGCGCGGCTGGGCGCGGTTGAGGAATACGAAACTGTGCAACCACCAGATTTCCGAGATTTCGACAGAAGGGGAGTTAATGCAGCGTAATGACTTTATTGCTTTTTGTAAGCGTTAGAATAGCTCAGAATTTAGTTTAAAACGTTAAATTATCACTGTTTATATTGCTGAGAGTTTTCACTCTTCGCGTTACCATGGCAACGTTGCTTTCTTTCTCTCGTGTTCTGTCGCTCTCTTTTGCGTTCGTTCACTCGGGACCCAGGATGTCGGCGCACGGGATTTGCCACTCCTCCTCACCCACCTTTACCCCCCCTGGGGTCTACTGATTCACTGAAAAACAGAAAAATCTACTGACTTTTTTAGTAAACATACTAAAAATTTATTATATGGCTCCTTCAGTTCCCAGTGTCGCCTATCAAAGGAAACTCATAATGTCCCAGAATTAAAAACGAAGCACTGGCTAGATGGCCCAGAAGCACGTAGCCTCTACCTCGTTGCCATATATTCATCTATTCACCCAGAGCAGGTTCGGCAGGTTCGACGGTGACATCCGGGCAACGTTACTAAAACACCCAGTTGGGAAACTCGCCGTCGAAAACTGGGCCGCTGGCGTTCACCGAGACCGAGCTAAATGCGACAACAGCGCCACTCTTTATCGTTTGTCTGTACTGTGGTCACCTTGATCTTTTTGAAAGCCTGTTTTTGCGTAAAAACAAACGGAAAAGACTCTTTTTGTATTAAATTTATTGGAGTTTAGTACCAAATGATGGGCGCGTGATGTTTTTATCATCTTTAGTTCGCAAGGTTTTGCGGAACAATTAATATTGTTTTCATACAGCTATGCCTCAGCGGGCTTTTCAGGGAGCAACGTTAAAATGCACCCAGGTGCATTTTAACGTTGGTTGTAAACGCGGCGCGTCCGCCGGTGAGACGGGGGTGGCACCCCTGTAACCTCTACCGCTGTATCTGTTCTTAAGCGCGAAACACATGTACGACGAAACCGTCCGATCCGACGTCCGACCGCGCAATACGACGGTCGGAGGCGAGGGTTTTCAACGCTCTCCGATGCTACGAAAACCCTCGCCTCCGACCGTCGTATTGCGCGGTCGGACGTCGGATCGGACAGTTTCGTCGTACATGTGTTTCGCGCTTTAAAGCCAAAATAGAAGTCACGTGCAGTTCTTCGAGTGACCGCTGCGGGAGAAATGGTGGCGTTGTGTTCGTCATTAGCTCGGTGCTCGGAGACAGATTGGGGCCGCTCTTTCAAAGCTGTCTCTATGGGAGTTTCCCAACTGCAGTGTTTTAGTAACGTTGCATCCGGGCGAGAGCAACAGAGCCATATATGGAGAGAGTTTGGCTAGTCTATGATCTCGCCGTAACGTCCCTCTCCCGAGTGAGCCAATCAGCCCGCGGCGCAGAGCGAGAGGTGTTTGCGCATGCGCCTGAACTCTCGGCTGCTCCGATACAATCTACTAAAATAGCTCCGACTTGAGCGGAGAGAGCCGCAATTTTCATTCATTCGTACGGCGGAATGCATGGGATCGACATCCGAATTTCAGTTATTTTCTTTTATTTGGCCGGCTGTGGCAAGAAAATGATATAATTCTATTCCTCGGTGGCTTAATAACGGATGAAGTTTCTCCACGTTTGAACGCAAACTTTGGGTCAGGCGAAAAAGAAATAAGCCCGTAGCAGACGACGCGTAGCCTCAACAGTGCTCCGGACCAACAGCGTTGCTTCAAAAACCTTCCACAGCCCAGTAAGGAAAGATGGCAGCATGCAGAGGACTTTCATTGGACATGTTCGCGCGCACTTGCCGGAGCGTCTTGTTTCGGTTTCGTTTCAATAATAGCGACAGGTGAACGTCGCACTGTCGCCTTCATCTGTGATCCCAAAAGTGCGCTCAGTCTCTATTTCAAAGAATAATCCTCGAAATAGTCAATAATGACTAAAACAAAAACATTTATGGTGCCATTTTAATTTCTCCTTCATATAAAGTTACTGGAGAACTGGTCTTGTTTTTTTCTTTCATTTTTATTTGTGTTTATTACCATGTTATTTGTTACTCTATACTATTACTTCGAAGTGTGTATTAATAGAGATAGCAAAACATGGCAAAACACATATTTCGTGGAATCTACTGATTTTTGTGCAAATCTACTGACTTTTTGGGGATCAATCTGCTGACTTTTTTTTTTCTCCGTCTGGCAACACGGCAACACTGACACGAACGTAGTCGCGCGGGATTTCGACGTTTCGAGTTTTGTTTCGCATATCTGCTGCGCTGTTGGATTTGTGCTACGGTATTTGTGCTGCGCCTCGCGATGTCCTACCACGATCGAACGAAGCTCCTTCTTCTCAAGAAGCTCATTCTTTTGCGGATGCTGAAAGAACGCAGGGAGAGAGACCGCTACACTGAGAGCGAGGATTCCACGTCGGTAAGAGCAGTATGCTTCGGTTGTCGTGAAACCGAGGCTGCTTGATAATAAAAGAGGACAGTGCCGTAAATGAAGCAACCAAAATAGTAGAGGTAGATTTTGTGCCCTTCTAGTGAAACGTTCGGTTAGGGGTTGTGGTCTCTGATAAGGCGAGAACGAACGGGCATTTCTTGCATATTGGCTTCTTCCAGCATGGAAGACACTTTCATCGAGAATGGCCGGGCGTCTCTGTACACGTCGCAAAGCGGCGTGTACAGGTCGGTTAACATTCTTGAAATGAGTAGCCAAACTGTCGCCGCGAAGCGGCGTGAACACGGGGGAGGTGGGTGAACGCGTATCCCAGTAATACACGTGTGACCAGGCACGCCAGGGGGCGGGCGGCGGGCTACGTGCCTGGTCACGTGATCAGGCACGTAGCCCCCCCCCCCCCCCCCCCCCGAAATCTTCCATTTTGCTGGGATTTCCTCTCCTCCCTCATCCTCATACAGCATTTTGTCATGGGCGGAAACAAAATCCTGGCTATGTGCCTGCGTGTGACAAAATGCCCCTACAGCGTGCAATTCGCGTAACCATTGTCAATGAAACGATCATGTCGACGGAACGTATCTGTGAAAAGTTGTATGAAATGATAGGGACCCTGGAAGTAACGCCATTCCCCTGCGGCTAGGCCTAAGGTCTCGAGAACACTCGCCACCTTTTCGGATCTGATGTCTGCACCTGGACTTCTTCAAACGCTTGGTAGAGACCTGATGCAAAGCTGAAATCTTCGAATTGTAGAAACCATTGTGGCCACCTGTCCGAATTTGCAAAGTCAATTTTGGACGGCGGAATCAGGCTCAGGAGTGAGACCATAGTGGAGGTAGTGGCGGCGGCGTCCGCTGTTTTCTTGAGCAACACGATGAGAAATGCAGCGATGGTGACGAAAAGCGTAGCAGCATAGGACAGGAAGCGGGGCCAGCATTGAGCATGGCAGCAGCTAGGAGGCTGTTAACCTGGGTGGCCCACTTCTGACATCACTGACATCCGTTTGGGCCTCCAAGTTGACCAGAGCCTTGACCTTGTATGGATCGGGGCTGATGCTGTTTGCGCCGACAGTGACCCCCAAGAACTCGACGGTGAATGGTGAAAAGACTCGTTTGGGCCCTGTTAGTTTCACTTTGGCGTTGCTTAGGCAACCCAACCCCATTGCAAGACGCTGGTTGGGCACCTTTCGGGTGCGTCCAAAGACCAGAACGTCACCGATCATGTGGACGACCCTGTCGAGACCCTCCAGGATCCTCCTCATTTGACGTTGGAAATACTCCGAAGCGGAGCGAACTCAAGAGGAAGGCGACAGAAGCAGTATCTGCTGAATGGGGTGATAAAGGTCATGAGTTCAAGCCCTCAGGCTTTCGCCCGAGGGCTTCAACTGGTGAAGACTGGCGGTGACGTCAAGCTCGGAAAAGATTCATGCTGAGCCCAGACTTCCCAGGATGGACCAATCATCGGGAGAGTGTCGTGCCATTGCCTATGCTTCACAATCTCTTACACCAGCAGAGATCTGTCAAAGTCAGACAAAAAAAGAGGCTCTGGCTGTCACGGCCATGGAGAGGTTCGACCAGTTCAACGGTGGCATCAGGTTCTCGACCCCTCGTAACTCTGCTGGGATCTGCGGAACTGGACAGTATACCTCCTCGCATTCAGCGCCTAAGGATGCAGCTTATGACTAACCGGTACAACATTCTCTACATAACAAGGAAGCTCCTGACAACAGCGAACACCCTTTCCTGGCTCCTGAGCAGGTGGCAGACAACAATCTCAACACTGTTGGGCTCTTCATTGGGGCACTGCTTAAGAACGTTGCAAGTCTTGCATCCTCTTGCCTGATCGCCTTCGCATGCACCAAGCAGGGGATGGAGTCTGTGTTGGTTACTCGGAGCTGGTCAACGTTCCAGTGCATCTTGGGGCTTTCTGGAAGGACTAAGGCAACATCACGGCCTTTGAGGCCTGTTGCTGAAGGACTGTCTCATCATGGTTCCCAAATCGCTTGAAAAGGAGATGCTCGAACTACTTCACGGGGGTCACCAAGTCGTGGGAAGATGCAAAGCAAGGGCTTGCAACTCAGTTTTGTGGCCAACCCTGAACAGCGAGTTGGAGCAACTGGTGGGGCCGTGCGAGCTTTGTGCACAAACCCGAAATCGGCGCTGCGAGCCACTTCTTGGGACTCCTATACCTGATCGCCCGTGGCAGCGCATCAGAGTAGACCTTTTCAAGCTGAAGAGACGCAACTATGTGGTCATGCTTAACTACTATTCCCGTTTCCCTTAAGTGGTCAGCCTCGTATCCACAACATCAAGCTCGGTCATCATGGCTCTGATGAGTTCCTTTGCCCGCTTTGGGATTCCGGAGTCTGTGGTCTCAGACAATGGTCCACAGTTTTCATCAACGGAATTCACATTTTTCACAACTTTGTATGTGTTTGCTCACCAGACAAGCAGCACAATGTACCAAGTGAATGGCAAGGCAGAGTGCATGGTTCAAACACTGAAGAAGCTGTTCATCAAGGCAGAGGACCCACATATGGCATTGCTGGTGTACCGGGACACACCCGTAGTGACCGGTTACAGCCCTTCAGAGCTGCTCATTGATCACCGTCTTCAGACCAGGCTGCCAGGGTTACAGGCATCACTGGTGCCAAAGTGGCTATCACCAGTACTCATCAAGAGCAGGGACTGCAAGGTGAGAAGACGTCAACGCAAGGACTTCAACATGTGTCACGCCGCCCAGTCACTGCACCCCCTGAAAGCGGGGGAAGACGTTTGGGTTCAGGATTTATCGCGTGCCGCCAGGCTGTAAAGTCTGGCACAGCGGCCACGCTCCTACATGGTCAAGACGCCAAGGATGTCATCCAGTGCAACCGTCGCCACTTGGCGCCGGTTGCACTGGTTGCACCATGATGACCGAGCTTGATGTTGTGGATACGAGGCTGACCACTTAAGGGAAACGGGAATAGTAGTTAAGCATGAAACGGAAATGAAACGGGAATAGTAGCTTGGCCGGCTGGGGTACTCCCAGCCGGCCAAGCTACTTTGTTTGCACCCGCCTGCAGCTTCAGACGGGCTAGTTCCTGTTGCTGAAAGACAGACTAATGGTTCAGACGGGCCAGAAAGACTGACTGGCGGTTCAGTGGATGCACCCATTGCTACACGACAGTCTCCCACCAGGTATACATGTCGCACATTCAGGGCGGCAGGTAAAGCTTCCTCAAAGACCGAACTTGTAAAAGCACGAGGTAAAGCCCCCTCGAACTGGAAGGGGAGATGTAGTGTGGCCACCAAGCAACAGATGGCACCATGTGTGCCGTGCTACAGTGCTACTGGAAACGGAGTTTCCTCCGGAAGTTGATAGATAATTAAAGTCACTTTTTGGTGAGCTGTCACCCAAGCTGGACGTGTTCTTTTCCCACTAGCGACCGTGCGGTCGTATTCGGGACCCAACTGCCACAACACCACCTGCCGTTCACATTTTGCCGTGGATGAGAATGGTATTCACTGGGTGCCATTGAGCACGGTGTTCACAGTGCATGCTCAGAACGATCTTCCCCTTATCTTCTGATAAGGGGTGGATTGTCATAAGCTTGCGCCGATCAGCAGTAGTCTCGTTTATGGTCACCAGTGGGCAGTCCACATGAGAGACTCCTCGGTTAACTACTGAGACCACAGTTCTACTTAGGCTTTAGGCAGTGCTGGGAAGTACTTTGAGGATATGCAGTGGCGTCGCTAAGGTCAGCGGCAGTGTGCCCCCTCCCCCCCCCCCCCCCACCCGTCCCCCCCCACTATAGTCTGTTGCAACTCGAGAAAGTAGGGTGAGGGAAAGGGAGGAAAAGGGAGGCTGAGTAGGAGGAAGCAGACGGAACGCTGGAAAGGAGAGGGGGAAACCTCCTCCACTCTTTAGCATTTTGTCTGCTTCCTCCTCCCCTGGCCTTCATTTCCCTCGCCCTACCGTCTTGAGTTGCAACAGACTATAGAGACGTCACTGAGTACATGGTACTTGATGTACAGGGAGTTCCCGAGAAAAGAGAACTGTGTTTTTCCGCCCGGGTAAACAAGCAATGCATCGCAGAATGCTCAAACTTCCTGAGAATGTGATGCTAGCGGTTTGTATACAATGCGAAAGTTTGAGAACAAGATGGTACCTAGATCATAAGATAATTGAGAAAAACAAACTTATTTTATGATCCCATGTCCACCTAAACCTAACTTCGTCAAAACAAGAAATGATATTGTGGGCACCTGTAGCTTCTATTTCATTGAAACAAACTTGTCAGCAAGAAAGAAAACAATATTCTCTTTCTTACTGACAAGCGGTTTTAACTGATTAAAATCCCACAATCATTCACAATATAATGTCTTGTTTTGACGATACTGGACTTGGGGTAAACGTCGGCTCATGAAGAAATTTTGTTTTTCCCAATTATTTTTTAATCGATGCAACGTCATCTTTCTCTAACTTCTGTGTTCTATCCCAACGGCTAGCTTCAAATTTTCACAAAGTTGTAGCTTTCTGCAATGCATAGTTAATTTATCCAGGCGGAAAAACACTGTTCTCTTTTCTCAGGAACTCCATGTACTACTTCAAGTAGGTTTGTAAAACTTGTACTTTACTTAATGTACAATCTCTGAGTACTACTTTTGAGTTGAAGTATAAGTGTTCACCAACTTCTCACAAAAGAATGGTGTATTGTCATTAGAAAACGTGAAATTGTCTTTCAAGATGTCATCCTGTAATTTCTGAGGGAAATAACAGTGGCTATAAGACTGATAAAATGCCTTATAAGTTCATTGTGTTCAATAGTTCCTCAGTGAGAGTAAAACAACAATCTGTGGTCGCTTGACTTTATCCAATATTTGCCGCAATTTCCTAAAATCGCTGATGCACCCCCGATTACCCTAAAACAATGCATACCAGATTAAAAAAAAAACGCTCTATAGGGGAATGAGAGGGTATCGTTAAAGATTGTG